ACAATCCAACATCTTCCCTGCGTGCCGTCTTCTTTTTTTTTTTCGATATTTACATTTAAAGTATTTTCAAACTATCTTTTACATACATTAAAAATTAATGTGCAATCTAGTGGATAACATGCCTAATTTTAAACTGATAGCCTCCTCTCACAAGTTTTTATTACTCCAACATTGAACCAAATTATTGCTATCCTTTTCCAACGATTTGGCATGTGGACCTGAGAGATCCACTTTGCTAAAGACTTAGCTATTTTAAATTATTGTCACCAAAATCTCGGTGGAGAACTGCGACAAGGAAATCCTTACCTGGTGACACAATGAAAAGTTCGTGACGGTGCAAGTCTCAGTGTTCACGCATAAAAGCCGACGCACATCAATAATTCTATCTGTCGAAATTCCCTGTACATTAAAAACTCCATATCAAGAAAAATTACTCACTAGATTTTTCTATTCCAAAGCATGACATTAATCCCTCGAAATCTCCGAAATTAAAGCATGAACAGAAGTACACGCACAAGGTGCCACAATATAAACAATGTGGGGAATTTGCACCAGAAACAACAGAACCTATTTAATTATTCCCAGACACAAGAACTATGACAAACCTTTAGCACGACACGAGTTTCATCGGGAAGGTTCACGGCGATGTCCAAAACGACGGAAAGGACTGCAAATTTCCGAACTTGGGTATTAAAAAAAATTTAAGCTGATTCAAGAAAGACTAATTTATTCTGTTGGGGTAAGCTAAAGAAATCCATATTTGCAGATGTGTAGATACCTTTATCTTCTTTTTTCTTCTTCTCTGCTTTGGCCTTTCTGCGGCTGTTTTTGGGAGCCATTTCTCAGAAGTTGAAATGAACTTCGAACCTTATGAAATTATAGCTGCAATTCATAGGAGAATGACTTAGTGGGTATATCTGTATCCTTTTTTTTCGTTCTAATGCTGAATAATAACAGAGCTTTAAACTGCTAGAAACCAACTCTGAAGTTTATATTAAAAAAAAAAAAAACCAAAAAACCAAAAAACCAAAAAAAGAATAAAAATATTAATCACAATATGAACGGATAATTACCAAGAAAATGAGAAAGAAGGATTCTGAGACTGGGGAATGAGAGAAGAGGATAATTAATGCATCAGTGAATTACAGATTAATAATTATTTATGTAAAAAAAAAAGCCTGAAATTAGCTAGGGATGGGTGCTGTGAGGGAAAGGAGAATGAAGAGGGCAACATAATTAGAGGGGAAAAGCTGAAGCTCTCATCCACTTCAAGAACATGGGTAGAGAAGAGTCGGGAGAGAAATAGGGAAGATTTTTAGTTTGATAAGGAAGGAAGGGCGGAGATTTAACAGTCAGAATGGTATACGACCTTTTATGGCTGTTTGTCCGCCTTATGCAGTGACTATCATTTTATGGATATTTTATATATCATTAAAATTTTATATTTTAAATTATTTTTTTTATTTTAAAAGTAATTGAAAATATACAGCTATTTTGCAATAAACTGTACAGGAAAAGTGCATTTTTGCCGGATTTATGGAAAAAAAAAATATGTTTACCACTTTTATCCGCACGTTAGATTGAGGGAAATTAACAGAGATCTGTACATTGTGAAAACAGGCTTCAGAAAAAAATAAGTAATTGAGGAATGATTGATCTGATTATTTTGATTAAAAACTCTTAGGATTTTTTAATTTTGGGTTGTGTGCACTTTTTTTATATTAGTTTTTATTAAAAAAATAAAAATTGGTATTAGTTTAATAAGTTTGTCTAATTTATATTAATTTTAAGTATATAAATTAAAGATGTAGTAAATATATTTTTTTATAATTAATTTATATAAAAATTATAAATTTTGATATTTATTTTAATATTATTGACAAGTAAATAATTTTAATTGATTAATTAATTAATTTAAAATCAACATTTACCATTTTCATGTGAATTAATTATAAAAAAATATATTAATTATATCTTTTAATTTGTGCTCAAAAAATACATGTTAAAAATTTTTTTAATTAACTATTTATTTATTTATTTAAAATAATTTACATAATATTAATTATAAAATTAATGTTAATTTTTATAATTTTTAATATTAATTAATGTTTAAATTTTATGTTAATTACATTCTTAACTTAAAAAATTTCTTATTCTTGTTGGATTTAAATTAGTATACAAAATTTCAATACTTTTTTTTGTTTTTTTTTTCTGATGTTAAAATTAAAACTCTTTCTAAGCTTTGTTATATGTGTGGAGCGTAGAAAGTGCGTCTGGTTGTCAAGGACTTTAAATAGGGATATGAAATAAACTATGAAGAAAGCCATTTGCTGCAGGTGCTAGATCGCCTTACCTAAATCCACAGTCTACGTACTATTTTTGTTGTACAGAATTAGAATTTGTTGTACATAGATGTGAAAAATGCATTTTAGGTTGACATGAATCTCCTCTTACCTTTATTAATCCTCTAAATAAGGTATGTAATTAATCAAGATGCGTATTATACAGTTTGAAACAATTCCCTCAAATATAATTTGTAAAATTCAAATCAGCTTTTTAATAAATTTGGTTTTACTTCAAGTCTATATAATAATGCTTTGTTCACTTGTGAGACTTCTCGACAAGTTATTTACTTACTTTTTTCTTCTTTATGTTGATAATGCAATTATTAATGAAAATGGTATTTTTTAATTCTGATTTTTAAAATTTGTTTATAATTTAAAAATCCTCAATTAAGTTGAATATTTTTGTACCTATAATATTGCCTTTATACAGATCTATATATAAACTTCTTGTGTATATTGAAAAATCATTTCTTTCTTCATGTCTCTTTGTCTACCTTGGTTGCTCATAAAAACATAACAATTTTGACCAAGCCAATTGCTTTACAAGTTCTAACGGTGGTTGATGTACTCAAAATATCACTATTTTTGGGGACCATTTACTGGTACCCCAATAATTTTTTCTAGCAAGGATACCCTTTGAGTGTCATGCCATTGTTAATATACCTTTTCCATGGATAAAACGGATTATACATGGGTTCTCTTTTCTTTCCCATGCCTCTCCTCAGCTTTATTTGTTAATTTGAATATTTAAATTTAAAACCTCTAATTTAACACATCCTTAATAACTTGATCAACAAAATTTGCACGACTGAGGTGTTCTGATTTTCATAATAAAGCAAATCTTGTGTAGCCAATGGATTATCCAATCAACTTAGAATCTCAAGTGCAGTGACACATTACTGTTCTGTATAACAACATTTACAAATGCGGATAGTTTAATGTCATATGCTCTGTCTTTCTGTACATGTGCTGCATACATAGATAATGTAAAAATCACATGATGTTGCTCTATGATATAATTTTCATCAAGTCATCCAAGAGGGTGTCTTCCTTACTGGGGCGGCTTTTCCATGTCCAATCTCTGTCGAACTAGAACAGCAGAATGTGGTAGCTGAACGAATAATTGAAATATAGAACTCACTAGAAGATTATCCCATACCGACAATTTTAATGAATTAACAGTTAGCACTTATCTACAGTAGTTCTAATCTTTGTCATTACAATTGTCATTAACCATGTACGAAGCTAGTAGTGGGGCGGTATATTAGATTGTATTCAGATTTTGTTTATCGCTAAAGGTGGGTGAACTTTTTGAGTAAACAATATGCACTTTTTTTGTTTTGGTCAACCAACTACAATGACACCATAATTCTTGCAGTGTATATAATCTGTATTCCACAAACTTTGCTACATTAAGTTAATCAAAATCTTAAGCAACGTTAGGCATGTCGCCTCTGGATTGGTCAAAACATACCAATCAAATCAGTGGATATATTTCCAAGAACCAATAAAAGAGTCCATAACAATAAGCTAGACAGAGCCATATAATGGGACTGACATATTGCATGATCCTGACGGGAGCCAAACACACTTACTTTTGTTTGTTGGAACTTTGATGAAATGGCTCCAATAATTTTGCTTTGTACAAAAAGGTACATTCTACATGAATATAGTGCATAGGAGTTGCCCTGGATAATATAGCTAATATATTCCCAAACAAAGTAAAATTATTACCAGCAATTCCGGGTCGGTCGAATTATTGATGTTCTGGAGGAAGTACCATGACTCGATTCATTGGATCATTTGATTCTTGGATTTCTGGACATAGCACAATCTTCAATACACATGAGGTGCAACTGCTGGAGTTGTTTTTCCTAATATCCAAACAAACCTGCACCTGCTGACTTCTAGATTTGAAATACGACCTCTGTTGGCAGTGTTTGGTTGTCTAGCATATACTGCCTGAAAGTGAAAATTGTATTTGTTAGTCTATCTAAAAAACTACTTGTGTTTACGAGGGCATAGCATAAGCTGAGAAGGAGACAAGATTTAGGTACTAGTGACAATGCAATGTCTTCTAGAAGGCCAAAGTCAGTCCTGATGGTTTGATTATTCATTCCAAGATTCAATCTGGACTCTAGACCATTTAACAAACTGACGAAAGGTTGAAGCAGCGTAGAATTTCCCAGATCACATTTCAAACCTGCAAGAAAAAGAATTCAATTGGTAATACTTGGTTAAAAACATGCAAAATGAACACCACCAGCATATTGGAGAGGAGACCTAGAGATGGTAATGGCAAAATCTTTCTCTTTTCCTTCCAAGCTAAACATCATGGAAGACTCAAACATATAGTTATATATATATATATACTCCAAAAGCCTGGTCCAAGTCCACACAAACCATCTAAAGGGTAAGCACATAATAAAAGATAACCAAGAATCTAACCATTATCAAGTTGATGAAATGGAAAAAAAAAAAAAAATGAAGACTTCAGAAAAGATTAAGATGTTACTTTCTCAAATTTTAAGTTCTTAGCATTATAAAATCAGCTACAATGAAATTCAACAAATTCTTGTAATACTTTCTCCTTTTCCCATATAGATAACCCAGAACTTCGCAAGCAAAAGAACTAATACTAGCAGTTCCTGGACTGTGGAATTGATATTCTGGAGGTTGTACCATGATTCCCTGAATATCATCATTTGACTGCTTGGCAGAAGCTGGACGTCAAAGAAGTGCACTCTTAAAGGTTATACTATAACTGGAAATAATATGAATTTTTTAGTTTATTAATTGAGATTAATGGACTAAAACCAAAGAAAGGGGTCAATACCATGAAACTTTTGAGCAGGTAACTGAGCTCATGATAAAGAATGCCACAAATCCACCAAGGAAAACTACATCATATATGCATCAAGATTGAAAGAAACTGCCGGGCAATGCATGATAAAGCATCTCAGAAAATAGTAAAACCACATAAAAAAAAGAGAATGTCAATCAAGTCAATCAAATGCAAAGTAATTGCGGCTGTTTTCCAAATAACTAGAAAAGTATCATCAAACACATATATACACTACTCAAAAACCTTTGAGAAACCAAAGGAAAAAGGGATATTGAGATAAGAAGCAAATCCAAAAGAAAAGGGATCAGCATGAAGGTTTGATCAATGCAGGAAGCAAGATGGCAGCTGGCAGACATTCAATGTAGGAAAACACAAATACAATGTCAGGAGAAGTCTAGGCAAACATCCAATATTAGAATGCAGCCCACGCCTTTTATTTCAACCCATTGCCATGCTCAAGCCAGGCGTGAAGCAATTACTGTAGGAGAGGTTGCGACAGTCACAAGCTACAACTTGAACAAGGACGAGGGCCCTCTCCCTTTCCCCACATTTGAATGCTGTAACTACCAACATACCCTTCCTGCTCAGACCTTTTACTTTCAGCCATCACATCCAATTTTAAAAACCAAATAAGAAAAAAAAAAAAATACAACTTTCTCAGCAACCAAGCAAGATCCTTCTTGATTTAATCAAAGAAAAGAAAAACTAACATAACTTTCCTGCTCATAATTCATAGCAATTCTAAAAATCAAGATAAAGAAAAAACTAAGCTTTCCCATATGTTCAATTTTCTCGGATACCAAGCAACAACCTATTGTTTAACGAAATAAAAAACGAAAATATTGAGAGTAAAAGGGAAAGAAAAAAAAAAAAAAAACTACTTTCACCTGCCCGCAGCATCCCGAAAGCTAAAGAGTCATATTGTGGCTAAGATAAAGCTCATCTGCAGGTTGCGGCGCTGCAGATTCGAAGGTCTAGTCTTTGAAGTTTGAAGGGTTTAGGCCTTTAGGGTTTATAAAACCGATTTTAGACTACAAGCATAAAAACGACGTTGTTTTTGTGAGAACACTGTTAGAAGATACGCCGTCGTTTGAAATTCCACCCACCTACCCCTTTGTAACCAACAATAGACACTCCACACACATATTATATATACGGGTAAATTTTATTACTAAATATTTATCATTTTTTTAAAAGTTATATTAATTATCTTGTGAAGAAATATATTTAATTAATTACTAACTAGTTAGTCTAACATGTGTGACCCCATTTATACATTATATAACTCCAACAGAAAGATTAGGCTTTTCCTTGTGATTGTAAATGTGGTCCTGTATGGGAGAAAGAATTTCATTGAATAAACTCTCACATCAACAAACTTGCTTTTCCTTGATAATCAATGTTCAAATCCTTAAAAAACTTACCTTACTTTGAATTTCATATAACTTTTAGGCCTCATTTGGTATAGCGATTTTGGGATAGTAGTTAGCGGTTTTACCTTACCTTGAATTTCATATAATTTACTTGCTACCGCTATCCGCTATCCGCTGAATTTTAACCGCTGTATCAAACAGGTCCTTAATCTAAATACATTATTTTTAATTGAATTGATTTAAAATAATAAATTATTCTTTAATTAGAAACCATTTTCAGTTAAAACAGATATAGTTATACATTTATAGATTGGATTAAATTGATTCTTTGATATGGTATCAATTAATTGTGCATTCTATCACCATTCTTTGACATGCTAGCAACTAATAATGCATGCTATTAGTTGATAGTGTGCATTATTAATTGTTAACGTATCAAAGAATTAATTTGGTCCAGTCTATATTAGTAATGTGATTAAAGACTAGTTATTGAGTTGAGATCAATTTTGTTAAAATTTGTATTATGACGAATCAATAATTTTAGTAATAAAAATTAGATAACAAATAGATCAATTTGAGAAAATATCAATGGAAATCTTAATAC